AGAGCAACTGTCGTCCAAGCCCTCCTGTTTAACAAACTGGTACTCTTGTGCTATACAAAAAGAATATTAGTATTTATTTTAAATAATAGTAAGAAAGCTCTATCACGAGGCCACACAGGAAAACACATTAATAATAATACACGGGACTTACATAGCGCTTTTCAGGAAACTCAAAAACGCTTAAATTACATTACCAGGTTATTATGAACTATGTCGAGAAAAACATATATATTATGCTTATACACAATATATATTGTTAAAAAAGATACAGTTTGAGCTAAACTGAGGTGAAGAACGATGAATGACATGGATGAGTAGACAGGTTGTAATATGGTCCTAGCTTGCTGAACACACTGAGTACAGCAAGCTTTTGATGATATTTGGAGCCGTGGCCCAGATGGCAATATATTTTAATGTAGAAATCAGTGAGCTGCTTATTCAAATTGTACTCAAAGGTAACCCATTTATTGTTGCTTTGTGTTGTTTACGGTCTATGAAACTGAAGATTAGAAGATGTCACTTTGGTGTATGTTTGCTGTCAGATACAACACAGGTAAATCTACAAAAAGGATATGTTTGTATTTGAGTCAAAATGAATCGCACCATCTAGTGTACAACAGAAAGCATTTCTCCTGGGTCGGGACTTTTGGACAGCTTTATCTGTCCAGATGCAGTTAAGGTACAATATGATAAACCCTTAACAATCCCGGGCTGAAATATCAGTGTCAAACCACATGAATAATCAAAATACAATAATAAGTATCAATAAGGCGAAAGTAATACACCGAGTATCTGGCCCTAAATGTCTGGATGTTTAAATGTATCCAACTGAACCATGATTTGCTTTGCTTCTAGTGTGACAGCATGTGTAGTGTCTTAGCTCTGTTTAGGGAACAGATTCATGCTTATGTTCGTAGCGAGTGTGTGATAAGGAGAGGTGAATGTGGAGGGCACTCTCAGCAGAGATTACATTAATGGTTACAAAGTTATTTTAACAAAGGTTGTCAATTGGTGGTAAATACAGGCTCAGGTATTTATCTCCTCAGGAGGATCCATGTTAAGTTCTGTTGGAAATATTCAAATGCTAAACGAGGATGGGAGAGCAGGTCTAACAACCAAAGAATAAAGAGACACCGCTTATGTAGGTTATGTAATGACGACAGGACGGATGGCAGGGTTCCATAGTGCATTATATTATCATTATTGCAGTACACAAACCATATGAAATGTTCTGCCTTGTCTTGCCTGGATTGAACCTTAAATAAAAGTGTTTTCTGTTAAGACTATCTGTCTCCTGCATTGGGTCTCCTGCTCCACTTTCCGTGACAGAAACAAGAGAAAGCATTAGCCTGAGACTCAAAGAATAATAGCATCATGTAACAGTCTGCGCAGGTTTCCTATACTTGTTCAAAAGCAAGGCAGGCAGCTGTCCAGATTTAGAAATGTTACCACCATCTTGACTTCTAAGTGCTTTGAATGTAAAAGCTCAGAACTATCAGAATACCATTATTAAGTAGTATTGTAAGGTGGTCCAAGAGTACAACTGACACGGAACAGTAATACAGGAAAAGCAATATTAGAAATGCCCTAACCTACATATATTTTTCAAGATTAAATTCAAGATTCAAAGGTTTTAATGTCATATGCACATAAGCTACAGTGTAAAAAAATGGCAATGAAAATCTTATGACCCGAGCTCCTCCAACGATACAATATATATAATAAAATACAAAAATACAAATAAATATATTTACAAAAATGTTTCACAGGTGAAGACTTTTTTAGGAGTCATTTATGATTTATTACTGACAATGGATCGTGGAATGGTGCTGCAATTGCACAAATTACTTACATGTGTGACATTGGATTTGGTTTAGCTGTGAATACATATTACAGGGAGGATGCACAGACGTGTGCCATAGCATCATCTAAATGCAGCTGAGCTGGTTTCAGAGTCGTGGGAAGAGCAGTGCCACAGATGCATTTGATTGATTTGGCTAACTCATAACTTATGAGGCAATATATCTCACCTCCAATGAGAGGCCTAGCCCTTCGTATGTTTTGCTGTATGTGGCCCTTATTGTAGTTTCCCCACGGCATACGCACAGAAATAACATCTGCTGGCCCATCATAAATACGTTGACCAGTGTATAAGAGGTCAGATTCTCTTAGCATCACATTCAGTCCTGATGAATTCTCCTTAACTTCTTTCCTTAACCCCGTGACACCTTTCTCTGAGGTTAAAGAATAGTGGTTAGAAGAACACATCAGATTTTTATGAACGTTTGACCGCAACCGTAGTGTCATTGCTTCTCTCTGACGTGTTGTGATAGTGAAGGCACAGCATGGCTAATAAAGAAGGAGCAGACCAACATCATCCGTCAAATCAATCTGTCTGATGCTACAACTGATCAGACATGACAGACTGAGGCTCTGTCTTCCTCAGAGGGCTTACCTGTGTCAGCAAAGCTCAAATGCATCATAAAAAGCAAGAATAAAGCATTATGGGAGATGGAAGCAGCCGTTTCTGCTGCGTTCACTGTCTGCCCCGCTCTTTCTAACCTGTTAACCTACTAACAATAAATCAACATGACACAATATTGATTATCTAGTGCAGGTGGTTTCTGGTGATGTCAGAAGATCCCACAGTAATCCACCTTTTAGGCTTCAAAGTAACGCATGTGTCGTAACAACCAGTGAGCAGACCACATGTTAAAAACAACAATGGCAAAGAGGTTTGTGTAGATGCTGCTGTAGCATCAGTTATATCCAAACTGGACAGTATTTCTTCATTAAAAGAAAAGTAAAGAATGGCGTTGAAAATATGTTTTTGTTCGAATGGTTTACAGCAAGTTCGATTGACCAAATAGCACATATGGTTTAATGATCTGATAGGTTAAAAATAGCCTGTCATGGATCTAACTCAGATCTTTACTGAGCGTACGCTTGGATCCTGTCATTGAGGATTTACTGTAGGTCCATTCTAATTTCACTGGCAGACACAAGCCACGCTCACCCACCAGCGTGTTATATGTATGTTTTTGTTATATTTGTTATATAACACATAGACATTGTATTTATAGAACACAATCACCATGCATTTGCCTCAAGGGCCCGTTCAGCCAAATTACAAGAAATAAATCCTTGTACTCTGGATAATGTAACGATATTGCCAGAGAAGCACACCCACCCCTCAGGTTAGCTCTGTTAGCTCTGTGCCCACTGTTGCAGGTCAATGCACTGCTGGTGCTGTTAGCATCGTTAGCTGCTAGCCACCATTCAACCCACTCAAAACAAATGAAATGTTTAAAATGGTGACCAATTCGTTTTTTACTCAGCAACACAGTGTCAATAAATTAAAAGTGTTCATTCTTCCCTTATAATGCTATGAACAACAAACCTGAAAGTTCATGTTATGTTGTTCATCTTGTCAAATGAACACCTTTCAGAAGCGGCCATGTTTATTTCACAGTTGAGAGTTCTTCAGTTGATCAGGTTTGAATGCATACATGTATGTTTGCAGCTGATGTTGTTACAGTTACAATAGAATCGCTCAATTATTTTCCAAATGTCCAAACTTTGATGGTCTGTTTTATAAAACAATATTCTTTAGCAGAAAGTAACCAACCCACATTTAGTTCTTTAGTATTCATACAATTGAATCAATCCACAATCCAATGTGCATAATATTATTTTAAAAAAGAAGTTTAACTTTAAAGCTATTATAGTAAAGTATAGAAAAGGTTAATTTTCAAAGGACAAAATGTTTGTTTCCAGTTTTGTTATTAAACACATCAACATCTCCTCCAAAAATGATTCATACATATTTTTTTATCTCTAAACACAAAGACACTATTATTACTGGTACTATTTCTAGTCTATCATCTCCTTGTGATTTCCCAGTTATTATGAAATACCAAAAAATCAAAAGCTCACCACAATGTTCTAAACACTTTTCAGAAAGGTATTTTTCAATCCTCCATTGAATGTTTCAATGTGTCTGCTAAACTCAGACTTATCTTACATAAGTCACTATAAGACATGTCACCAGGGTCATCTCAGTTTGGAGTTGGAGACATTTATCACAGAAGGCTAGCGTTATAAACAAACAAGCTTTGAATGTGTGGGTATTTACTAAAAACACTATCAAGATGCATGGGTAAGTGCACCCCCCACACAACCCTGCCCCCACCCCCACCAGGAGTGTCTGTCATCACAAACTTGAGCTTTGCAGCCAAACACTGTTCAAATGTTCAGGACATCTACAGGGAGTCCCAAAGTACACTGACAAAACAGTAACGTTCACTTTAACTAAAATAATGTCAACAAATGTCACATAACTGTATTAGGTTAGCTGAAAGCAATAATATTAAATTGTATATTAGTATGTTCAACTAACCTAATACAGTTGTGACATCTTTTGACATAATTCATTTAATAAAGTCAACATTTACATGTTTACATTTTCAATGGAGCTCAACAATACTAAGATGTTTTTGATATCCTTAATGCTGTGGGGGGGGGCTATAACTATATGTGAGGTGGTTCGGTGAAGAGCATCAGGCTAAGTCTAATGTCATGGATCACATGTCATGGAGCAAAGAGACTAAAAACAGCTGACAGAGCATCAGGGCCGCATCACAGCCCGGACACACCTGCACCCAAAAACAGACTCAACAATAAATACATCTGCACAAATGAGCACGGAGCAGATTGCGTCACTGAGAGACGCTGACGTCATGGTGTTTGTTAATAATACGCAGCTCGATGCGGCTGATCGGCACTCAAAGGCCCCGGAATGATGCACACAAAGAGCCGGAACACCCAGCGCCTCCAGCCGCTCCACCCTCACCGCCCCTCCGCTCTGCTCTGCAGGGTGGATGCTGCTCCGTCACCCAACCCCCCCCGTCCGTCCGTCCATCACAAGCACAGACACACTCTCTGCACCCGGGGACGCAGCCTCCTCCCCCGGCCTGCGTCTCCTCCGCAGCATCCCTTACCTCTCAGATGAAAATCCTCTCGGGCATTAATCCATGGTCAGCCCGGCTGTGCTCGCTGCCTGTCGGTCACCTTCCTCCCGACGTTGCGGCGCGGAGAGAGCGAAATAAATAATGATCAGAGCCCTGCCCGTTGTGTCCTATCGGGAGGCGAGGGATGCGCCCACCCAGCCCGCAGACACGCGAAGCTTCCGCGGGTCCGGAATCCGAATCAGCCGCAGAGAGAGGCGACGCTCAGCATCCTCTGCAGAAAAACGCTGAAATCGAAGCGAAATATCCTCTGGTTTGTGTTTCCGATCGCCTGTTCCTCCTCCACAACACAGTGGCCCTCTCTTCCTCGTAATGTCTCCTCCACACACACGCACACACACGCGCAGAGCGGAGCAGCTCTGTCTCATTTAAAGAGATAGGACCGAGGAGCCTTTCTGTTCTTATGTAACCTGAGTCTCTCTCTCTCTCTCTCTCTCTCTCTCTCTCTCTCTCTCTCTCTCTCTCTCTCTCTCTCTCTCTCTCTCTCTCTCTCTCTCTCTCTCTCTCTCTCTCTCTCTCTCTCTCTCTCTCTCTCTCTCTCTCTCTCTCTCTCTCTCTCTCTCTCTCTCTCAATTATGATATCAATTTGTGTTTTAACTTAGAATTTGGCTTTGGAAATTGTTAGCTTAGCATTTAGCTTTCAGCCATAAAACTATACTGGTCTGATTGTAATTATCCTTACACATAATTTGTTTATCGGCTCCATCAGAGAGAGAAGGTAATTGTATCTTATGGTGTGGCTTAATGTTGGAAATATATGGACAAACAACCATCTAGATCAGGGGTGGGAAATTCATTTTCTAAAGGGACCGCATGAGAAACTGGGACTGTGGTGGGGGCCGATCCAATTATGCTCAATACCAATGTATTTCTTTATATAAAAGCAGTATATTGTAAGGATTTGAGTAGTGTCGTGGAAATGTATAAAAGTGTCATTCAGTTAACTCGATTTGCCAAATCAACCAACCATCTAGAATCTACGGCTGGAAGTGGCGATTGCTGCTGTTATGGAAGCAAACAAGAGACAGAAGTATTTGAATTTTATTAGACACCGAATTTATAGCATTGAAAATAATTACTTTGAAAATCATGTATCTGAATTTTTCACTTTTCAATTCAGATCCCAAAAATTCAAGTGAAAAAAATGTGAATGTACAATTTGGGTGTATAAAATTTGACGTAAAAAATGTCGGTGTATAAAATTCAATGTCCAAAATTGCGATGCAGCATCATCCGGGCTACTCAGACAGGATAAGCAATCGAGACCGAATGCTATCAAACCCACTTCTGGCCTATCAGAGCACGGCTTTGTCAGTCACGTGATCACAACAACCCGGGAGAAAAATGACGGAGCATATAAAGAAAAGGGTAACAGACCATGTGTCAGTATACACCACAGAGTTGTTGGCATTGGTACTGTCATTGAAATGGATAGAGGAGAAATAAATACATAACAGTGTAATTGCATCTGATAGCTTTTCAGCATTATCGAGTATACGATCAGGCAGATCTTCATTTAGAATGGACATAATAAATGAAATATTTCTAATTTTATATAAAATGCAAATCAAAGGCATAGCAACTCGTTTCATCTGGGTTCCTGCTCATGTTGGTGTGGAGGGTAATGAACAGGTGGATATTCTGGCCAAACAAACACTCAGAAGTATGAACATAGACATAGAAGTTCCACTCAGCAAAGCGGAGGTTCAAACATTCATACAGAAATATGCACAAACAACATGGCAAGATCATTGGGATCTTAGTGATACAGGAAGACATCTTTATAAAATGCAAAGATATGTGGGGGATGGAAGGAAGGTGGGGTTTAAAAGAAGGGAGGAAAATGTCATTTCTCGGATGAGAATAGGTCATACAGGTCTCAATCATACATTAAGTATAATCAGTGTTGTTACAGTAACGCGTTATTTTTAGCAGTAACTAGTACTCTAACGCATTACTTTTTAAATTCAGTAACTCAGTTACTGTTACTACATGGTGCGTTACTCCGTTAGTTTTATTATATAGTCAACAGCCAGGCGAACAGAGATGAGAACTGTACTTAAGTACAGTACTTGAGTAAATGTACTTAGATACTTCCTGTGTCACATGCGGAGACGGGCTGTGGGCGTGTTTGTGTTGTTTACTAACAAGACTATCATGGCGGCGGCGGAGCTCAAGTCTAGTTTCTCCACCTGGAGATATTCTCACTATTTCACTTTTGTCGAGCACAAAGAAAATAACGTTTTAGTTAAATGTAAGTTGTGTCTTGGCGGGTCAAAGATCCTATCTACTGCCCAAACCAGTCATTCAAATCCCTTAAAACATCTGCAAAAACAACATGCTGGGACGAAGCTAGTAGCTAAGACCACAGAGACTCAGCCGACGCCACTCCACCTCCACCTAAGCAGCAGCGGCTGGATTTTAACCAAGGGACTGCTAGCCAGGGAAAAGTCGATAAAGCCATTGCACGGTATGTTGTAGAACCAATCCAGTCTCACGGCATTTCGTGTTCACCAACACGATTTTTAATCTATTGATTCGTGTTCACCAACACGATTTGCCCCTTTTTTTCGTGTTGCACAGCACGATTTTAAAAGCAATGTATTTCTACTGCCTGCAGCACGTCTTTTTCTCCGGTTGGGTCGTGGGAGACCGGAAGCTGTGTGGTTCATAAAAACATGTTCTTACTCAATATCAAGCCACAATTATTGCTTTTATTTTAAATCGTATAATTTCGGACTTTTGTTGCCGTCTGTGAGGAAAAGAAATGGGGCTCAGAGCCTCAGAATACGGAAATCTGTATTTTTAAATCTTTTTTTACTTCTAATTCGTTATTCTTTTCAAAATAACACACTGTTATTTACTCACCAATAACACACAATTATCCTTGCTTTTATTTATTGGTTTAATTCCATAATCTCGGGCTTTTTTGGCGTCCGTCAGGAACTGAATTTCAAAATAAAAATAACCGGAAACAGACGTAGGCCTATAAGGGACATTTCGAGCATCATTGCGATTGTCAACATTTCTGAGTTTAGGATGGCCGAAGACACTACACTACCCATAATCCCCAGCTATCGTTTAGGACTACAGTCCCCGTAAGGTTACGCAGAGCGTCAAACAGCTGTGTGAAATGGAACGAAACCACGCCAGACTATCCAAAACTGGAATTGAACGCCCCCCCCCCAGAACTACACATGCTGGCTATTATGTTTCGCAAAATGTTCTATGGGATGTCTCTACTGAACGTTTTTGTTTTTCCCACAATTAGAAGTTGTCAGTATTAAACACATTGGTGTTATCAAATGTAAAACATATCATTAATAAATGGGTGAAAATCGCTTGTGTCCATAATGCGCAGCATTAATATATACCCACATGACAGCTCATTGTTACTTTGTAATTCTACTCCACTACAATTCAGAGGTTAACCTGGTATTTTTACTCCACTACATTTATTTGAGTTACTTTGCAGATTCTGATTAATGATGTGAAATATAAACAACCCTTAAATCAGACTTTAGTTACACCAGAGTAAAATTCAGGTAAGGTGATTGTCAAGTGCCAACAATCAGGAGAGATATTTGATAGTTGGTGCTTGAGAAGACTAAACATGTATCTGCAATTGACATGAATGGAAACGAGTAATAAAGTATATTCATTACTCGTTATTCTCTACTAATAGTTCATTAAAGACTGTATATTATTGTTTGTTTGTAGCCTTTATTTAACCAGGTGAAGCCCCTTGAGATCAAAAGATCTCTTTTTCAAGGGTGACCTGCAGGACATTAGTTACACATGTAACATAAAAACAACAGAACAACAATAAGGATGACATACAACATAATGTACAGGGTACAGTTTACAAACTCTATTTACAGAGACAGGTACCATGAGTATCAAACAGCATGTCACCCAGCTGAGTTTTAAAATGATGCAGGGGAACCAAAGTGCTCAGTTTTAAACATGTTTGCAGACTGTTCCAATTTAGTGGAGCTGCACAACTAAAAGCTTTCTTCCCTAAGACAGTCCTAGCACTTGGCACATTTAATAAAACAACATCATGAGATCTCAGGCAATAAGTACTTTCAATTCGTCGAGAGATCAGAGAGCAGATATAAAAAGGTAGTTTACCCAACATGGCTTTGTAAATGAACATGTACCAGTGACTGAGCCTCCGTACAGTTAGTGAAGGCAGACCTGCCTTGGCATACAGGGTACAGTGATGAGTAAGTGCTTTACAGTTAGTAACAAATCTCAGGGCACTGTGATAGGCGGCATCTAACTTTTCCAGGCAATGGGCAGGTGCATTCATATATAACAAATCACCATAGTCCAGCACAGGTAAAAAGGTCACAGAGCCTTTTCCTGGCTTCAAAAGAGAAACCTAGTCTAACCCTCAGCTTTTTAAGCAGGTTATTGACATGAAGTTTAAAAGTAAGACAATCATCAAGCCAGATACCTAGGTATTTATAACTGGTAACCACTTCAAGTACTTGTCCTTGCATAGTAACAATATCCAAAACAGGCTCTGGTGTCTTTTTAGCTTTTGAAAATAGCATTAACTTGGTTTTATCAACATTTAAAATAAGCTTAAGTTCAGCAAGCTGAGTCTGAATAATGTTAAAAACAGCCTGTAATTGAACACCAGCCTCCTTAATGGAGGGACCTGCACAGTACATAACGGTATCATCAGCATAAAAATGTAAAGTAGCATCATCCACATTTTCACCTAAACTGTTGATATATATGGAGAATAAAAGTGGACCTAAAACAGAACCTTGAGGAACACCATTAGCAATGTTTAACCACTCAGAAGACAGCCCATCAAAGTGAACACATTGGGACCTTTCAGAGAGGTAGTTCACAAACCAACCCACTGCATGGCTGGATATGCCGATACTGAGTAGCCTCTGCTTTAAGATGCGATGATCGACGGTATCAAACGCTTTGGAAAGGTCAATAAATAGAGCTGCACAACTCTGCTTATTGTCTAAAATACTCGCCACATCATTCACCACTTTCAATGTGGCAGTGATGGTGCTATGTTGCTTTCTGAAGCCTGACTGATGTTTAGACAGGATATCATTTTTACATAAAAACTCCTTTACCTGTTCACTCACTAGGCGTTCGAGCACCTTCGCCAGAACTGACAATTTAGAGATTGGCCTATAGTTATTTAAAATAGTTGCCTCCCCTCCTTTTAGAAAAGGCAAGACATAAGCTGACTTCCATACTTTTGGAATTGCATTTGTGCTGAGGGAGAGGTTCAAAAGAGTAGTAAGAGGAAGAGCAATAAAATCTGCAGCTATCTTTAAAAAGAAAGGTTCTAAGTTGTCCGGGCCAGCCGGTTTCTTAGGATCTAGCTTAGATAAGGCTTCATGAACAACA